GTTGATCTGGCTGTAGGCTGTGGCACTTGGCCAGAGGTGGCGCTGGTTGACTCGACTCCATGTTAGTGCACAAAGTAAACTGCACGCTGTAGTTATGAAGCAAAAACGCTGAATTCGGAGAAATAAACCATGCGAGGGGAACGATAACGACGACAAGAGTCTCCCGATCGTTTACTCTTGCTGTCCCGTGAACAACATCGGCGTGGTGTTAATTGTTTGCTGTTTTCGCGATTGCGTCGCGCATGAGGATATCGCCAGGTAAACTCGCCACATTTTTAAACATTTTGTTGTTCAACAGCATCAAGACTGACAGAGTGTGTTTGAGATAACCTCACAAGTGTCACAGATGACACATTTGGCGTTTTTTTGCTGGTTTGTCGGTAGCAGCTCCTGAAACGCAAGACTGCCACACATCTGTTCGACCAACGCCAGTTGATCTAAACGCCAGTAGATCTGGAACACCGGGCACACATTTGCTTTTGGGAACCTGCTTACCACCCCAACCCATCCCCCATGCAATTTAAGTTAATTGTCACTGGAAAAAGCAGGTGTTAGCTAGCAGCTAACTGGAAATATGAAAGAATGACATCATTTTTGTGGGAAATTACAATACAGCTTTGTTGGTTTTGTAGATGACTGCTATTGTTGTAGATTTACGTAGATATGTGTGCACAAGGAAATCAGCTTCATTGTAAATGTGCTGGATTCCATGTTTATGAGAAATACGAGTTTGGCAGTCTTTTATTAGACATTGACTTCTATTCAGTATTCTATTCAGAAGTTATTTATTAAAATCAGAGGTAATGCTGTGTGCTTAGCTGATGGAGAGCAGGTTGCTATGGTTATGGTTAAGGATGATGGTTTAAATCGACATTATGAGCCTACACATGCAGAGAACTATAAGAACTTGACTGATGCAGAACAAGAACAGACATCTGCAAAAGCAGCAAGGACTTTTTACCAAGCTGTACACAACCAGGAGCTTTGTCGATATTCTCACAAAATTGCAAAAAACACTTAGTCATTTCATGATGAGGATTTTAAGAGTGTTTGTTGTCCACAAGGCAGCCCAGTTGAAACTTCCCACACATAAGGAGAAATGCTCAGAAGAAACTATGTGAACAAACATTCTCAGTAATGATGTTTAACAAATTGAGATACAGTCCCTGCACACTTGTCTCAGTACATTCTTCCAACTGCTGACAACGAGTCATAAGCATCTAACTGTGAATAAGAAGAAAATGAGATAATCGCAGTGAAAATGGTTGTAAATTGTTGTCAGCGTTGTTAACATTTTGCTTATTTATTGTGGAAGCTCAGATTGATGAAATTCATTTTACACCCAATTGAACAGTCCCACATGTGGCTCGATTCACTATGATTAATTTTTGTGTCTTTTGTAAAGTCTCGCTCTTTGCTGTGTCTTTGACGGAAAGAGAGCTGAAGTGTTGAAACAACAGAAAAAAACAGCAAGCTACTTAATTCAACATCCCTTGTGTTAACAGATGCGTTAAACTGTAATCACTTTGTGAAACACTGGTGTAGACTACATATCATAAACAATCTGGAAAGTTAGGCAACATTAAACAAATACATAAAACTATACTAAAAGTATGGATTCTAGTAATTCAAATACAATTTAAGGATCATGAAAAATACACGAGAAACATCAAAATGGAAGGCTGTGAGGAGATGGACCCAGGAAAACAGGGCTCTTTTTTTACATTGGCTTCATTATTAAGACCCCAAAGTTCCATTCGCATTTTATATAAATAATATTGGAAAGGAAAGTGAACATATAAGCATTATACAACCCCTAGGTACCAATCGTACCCCTCAGTAGTAACACTCTGTTGTTTTGACTAATACTCCCCTTTGTTTCAATGGCTTAAGACCAACTAGGACTAGTGACATAGCACTAACATCACTGCTGACTGGGGGTTTATCATCCTGTTTTCACTACGAAGCAGTAGATCATTTCAAGGAAAGACGTAAGCTGAAGGTTTAAAGTGGACTTATTCTGTTCCAATAATGAATGTTGATCTTAAACACTGGGCAACATTAAAAAGAAAATTAGGTCAATATATGAAGATATACAGTACTGTGCAAAGGCTCGAGCCACCCCTCATTTCTTTATATTTTGCTTTCAGGCACCCAGACTTTCTTGTATGTTTTTTAAACAATATTTCACAAGGCTTTCTGACGTGTTTTTTTAGACCTCAACTTCCTCTTTACTCATTTCCAGTCCAGTCCGTGTACCTCACTGTTTTCAGAGGGTTGTTTGTTGTTTGTTTTATATTATATATATTTCTTATCACTAACTTATGAAGGAAGCATTAAAGCATAAAAAGATGCCTAACTGAAGGGATGAATCATTGTGTCTGCACATAACAGACAACTTAGTAGCAAAGGCCTAGTTTGTGCTTTGTATTCTTTGTATTCTTTAGGCTCTTTTTTTACTAGCAGCCTGTTGCAAAAATACATAATTTGTTCCAATTTGTTTGTTAAATTTACAGAAATGCCAACAGTAACAGTAACAGTAATTCAATTTTATTTATATAGCGCCAAATCACAACATAAGTCGCCTCAAGGCGCTTCATAGATACAGAGAAAAACCCAACAATCATATGACCCCTTTGGCAACAGTGTTTGAAAGACATGAAATTGTATTTTTGCTCTAATGAGGTTAAAACTATTAGCCTAAAACTATCTCAAAGTGGCGTGCAGGCTGTCCCTAAAGAAACCGAGGACAAAAGCAGAAGTGGCAGGCTTAAGAAATACTGTCTACCGCAGTTGAATGGTATCTGAAAACATGGTGGAGGCTCTGTCATGGTTTGGGGTTGCATTTCAGCCAGTGTGTTGGGGAGCATGCCAGAACTGATGGAATTATGAAGACAGAAAAGTACTGTCAGATTTAATCTACCGTGCAATACCATCTGGAAAGCATCTGATTGTCAGTGGATTTGTTTGTCAGTACGGCAATGATTCCAAACAGAGTACCAATGCAGTAAAAACAAACCTATAGAGAAAAACACACAATGAAGCACTTGCTTCCCTAGAGCCCAGACGTGAATATTATTGAAGCAGTGGGGGATCATCTTGATATAGAGCAGAACAAAAGACAACCAGCTTCCAAAGGAGAGCTTTGGATCTCTTTCAAGAAGCCTGCAGAAATATTCTTCTCTGCACTCACATGTTTTTGAAATATCTGGGCACTGACAAAGTTGTGTTAGTAAGAAGAATATGTTAATGAAATGTTTGTTAAATGTGATGTTAAAAGGTTTTCCTGTGTCCTATCATTTCCTCTTGTTCCATGTGTCTCTTTCTTTGTTCTCTTTCCCCATTTTTCATTTTCCTTTAATCTTTCTTTCTCTATTTCAACTCTGACTGTCCCCTCCTTATTCATTCCCGCTTTTGTCTTTCTTCTTGTTTATCTGGCCCCCTTCTACTCCCCCTTCCATTTCAGGACCATGTCACAAGGGGTAGATGTGTCTGGCCTGTTCAGTGAGATGGTGAAAGCCTGTGCCACAGTAGATGTAGTCCAGAAGAAATTGGTTTATGTCTTCCTGTGTTCCTACGCCACTTTAAACCCGGAGTTGTCCCTGCTGGTCATCAACACTCTGAGGAAGGACTGCCAGGATCCAAACCCAATGGTCCGCAGTCTAGCCCTCAGGAACATGACCAACCTCAGGTGAGCTGTTGTACACAGGGACCTCAGTGTAAGCTGCCACATCCACTCATGACTGGTTTTGAATGTGTCTGTGTGCCAGGTTACCCAGCCTGGTGGAGTATGTGGAGCAGCCTCTAACAGCAGGACTGAGAGACAGAGCAGCCTGCGTACGACGTGTGGCTGTACTCGGCTGGGCCAAATTGCACAACCTCCAACCTAGCTCTGAGATAGGTGGGGATTTTTTTTATCCCGTTAACACAGTTCTCTTCTTCTCTTGCAAGAAAGAAGAAAGTTAATCCCATCACTATTGATGTATCAGCAGGTGTGTTTCACTTGCTGATACATCAGCGTCATGTACAGAAACCTCTTGTTTGTGATTCTTTCCAGATGCAGCAGTGGTGAATGAACTTTACAGCCTCCTGAGGGATCCGGACCCCGTGGTGATGGTGAATTGCCTCCGAGCTTTGGAGGAGATCCTGAAGGAGGAGGGTGGTATCGCTATTAACAAACCCATTACCCACCACCTGCTCAACAGGTTGGTCCACAGTTAAAACATCAGATGAAATGTGGATACATGAAATCTGTCAAAATAAGGATGCTCTGGTATGCAGTTTATTTTACTGTTAGTGCCGAACTGCATTAGGTCTTTGATTAATTTCAATGTGAATTTTTTAGGGGCGTGCCCTACTGTTTTACCTTTAGGCAAAGTAGGTAGCTGAAGTGGTGGATGGTGACACATCTAGAAAACTGTGAAATTTCACCAGAAGAAAACTAATCCCATCACAGGAAGAAGTTAAAAAAAGAGGGGGGGGGGGTAAAGAAGGAGAGGGTTGAAGAAAGCCATTAATTTGTTTCTAATGTTTTTACATTCTTCTCTTCATCTGCTACTCAGTTAATGGGGAAAAAAGGCATTCTGTCTTCTTACTGAAATTGAATTCATTTTTTGTCTAATGAGAGCCTTAATCTGCAGGACTGTCTGTGTGTGTGGCTATCATCCAGCCTTCTACAGATAGCTAATCATATCATCAGAGCCAAATAGCTTCCTGTTGGACCAGCATTATAGACAGGAAGAGCAATGTGCACATAAATATATTTCCCTGCATGTTTAACTATTGTAGCATAGCATAACACTGGCAACGTCCAGGTGACTTTCCTCAGCCGTATGTGCTACCAGGCTATTTTGTTTTATTCATTTTTGTCAGTGACAGCAAATTTCCACTACTGGCACTGGTGAGATGTAAGAACTTGCCCAGGAACTGACCCTAAATAATCACGCTTATAAAATCACATTTTATTCCATCACCTAACATCAAGATTATATTTTGTCCTAACATAGAAACTGTATTTGAAACTGATTTCTCAGTGGCAAAATGAGTTCGTAAACTATAATGAATGCACATCACATTATCAGTTTCAAACTGATAATGTGTTTTGGCTGAAAGGTAATACTTATGTTTGAGCTGAGCAGCTGTGGCTCACATATTACAGTCTGTCTCTCCTTCCTGTTTTTGTTTTGTTTTTTTCCCTTTCCTTTATGGTGTTATGTGGATAAAGGCAGTATGTGTAGTTTGTAGTTCATGTAAGTTTCGCTACTTGTTTTGTTACGCTTAGTGCAGACCTTCCCAAAGTGTGGGGGGCGCAGAGCCATTGCAGGGGGGGCGCGGTGTGAAAAGGGGGAAAAAAAAACAAACAAACAAGGCTTGGACACTGCTAGCACGGGGCAACCACACAAACGCAAAGCAGGAGATGAAGCATAGCTGAATATGTTTCCAAACCAACTTCATTTTAAGCCAAAGACTAGAAAATATGGTGAAGCATATTTTCTGTTAAGGGTTCAATATTGAGGAGGAGAGTAAAAACAACCATGGTCCAGAAGAGCTTGGTCAAACAATCGATTTTAATGACCACACGCAGCGTGGGGAGATGTACACTGCAAAACATCAGCTGTAGATCTCCGCCCAAAAAGACACTTCAGATTGCTTTTGATTCATCAGGGTTAACGCCCCCTCATGCATCATCAGATACAATACATGCATACGTCAAATCAAAACCACAATGACTTTTAACACAGTTTGAAAAGAACATTGTCTTCGTCTCCACGGCAGGTGCTTCCTGTCAATCTTCTGACTCTCGCTTCTCCAAAACCTCGGGCCATGCTCTGGAACAAACTACCAATTCTGCACACACAAAAATGCAGTTGCAAGAAAATATATCTGAACTCTCATCTAGAACATAAGCCTACCTACTGTTTGTGTGTGTGTGTGTGTGTGTGTGTGT